ACAAACCGTGAAGTATGTTCATTAAGGTCCCACTACTTCTTGTTATTTGCTAAAGTTGTTAGACTTCAGTTTATTGAGAGTTTGAGTGTACATATTCAAATATAACTTTGAAAATGCAGGTTAATATTTTTTAGTTCGACCAAACATATTCAGCTAATTAATGAGAGCTTTCAGATTTTTTGAAAACAAAATTGCATTGTTTCAGATATCTGTATAAGACACGGGCTCAAAAAAAGATGAGAAATAAGCAAGTAATCCGTAAAGCATTTCAAACTTGGTGGTCATTTTGGTTAGAACAGTTGCAGGGTTTACGAATGGCCTAGAATGCACCATTTTGCGCCTGCGCATTGCCAAATCCTTGCTTGTCACGTGTCAAAACAAACGGTCGCTGTTCCTGCTACAATTGTGATTCCTATCTAAAGTTTGGTGCTGATTGTTTTCTCTGTTTGTCAGTGAAATTTTTGAAATTTTGACACCGTCTCCAGTTTTAATAGCTAACTAAAAACACACTGATTAAGACTTTGCAATTTTCCTGGTGTTCTCTAGCCGTGTCTCTCAGGATCAATGGCGTCCTATCTAACAGAGTGGGTCACGTCATGTTTCAACATAATTTTGACAGCCACTGCACTCTACTCCTCTTACAAACTATTTAAGGTGGGTATCACTCAATGTAGTATCTGTGTGTGGACATGTATTTGTAGTAAATGAGTAGTTTCTGCTTTTAATAAATGATAGTAAACTTAATATCCTTGGGTTTGGCCTTCTTTCCTCAGCTATTTCCCTTTATTTTAGTTTTTTCTTTTTCTTTTGTATCTAACTTTTAGCAGTAAACCGTAAATCTTTCACTTGACATTTGTGAATCTATCTATCTATCCAGCCAGTGTCAAACTTGGTCATTCTCTCTCTGCAGGTCCACAGAGCACCTTCAGTAGGCTTCTTTCTGCTTGGGATCTCTGCAGCAATTTCCATCTTGCATCCCTCCAGCCCGTACCTAACTTCCCTGCAGAGAGAAGCTGAATTGGCTGCTGAGGTGCTGGCTCCAGTGTTGGTCTCCTTTGATTTCCTTTGGCTCAGTCAGGACCATAACACAGCCCAGATTCTCCTCTGTGGTTCTTGCCTGCTGCTCGGACTCTCTGACTGGCTCTCAGCAGATACTCTCACAATTATGACTCGCTGTCTGGGCCTATCATCCCTCTCCTGCTGCCTGATGGTGTGTTTGTTTGCTGGTAATGCTTCAGGGGCCTTTGGGAGCATGGCCCTCAGCCTCCCCTTACTGCTGACTCAGAGGTTTGGAACAAAAACTTTTGCTCCTCTGCTTTTTCCAGGTGCTACAGAAGAACTGATGAAGTGTCTTTTAAAGGGGTCACTGTTGATAGGCTGTTGGGTATCAACTCGTGCTCTTGGCAAGTTTCTGTTTGATGTGACTGACCAAGCTGTCTATTTAAGTTCATAGAAATCTCTGAGATGTAGGTATCTATGACTGTGACAGATGTGACTGACAAACTAGAAAAATGCAGAAATCTAATATGCCTATTAATGTGTCAATATAATAAATAATAGCTCCAGTAATAGCTGGTTCAGCCTTCTCAAGGATTTATCTTTTTCCTCCATCATCATGCAGCATTTTTATTGCTCATAATGAGCTTTTGGGGAGTAAACAAAACATGGCAGTAAGCGTGAGTCTGTGTTACTTTATTTAAGTGAAATCTATGCACATTGCCTTTTGATAAAAACAAACATTATACTTGTTTAAATTAATCCCAAGTTAAAAGAACTGGTTAAAAAAAATCCCATGTTGAAGGTATGAGGGTTTGTTGTGGGTTTGTCTCATATCTCTACCTTTTGCCTCCTTGTCTCCTCTGACCTTTGTCTACCTGCTCTGTAAGACGCATACTGTTTCTATGTGTGTGATGATGTCTTATCCTCACCTCACTAGGAGAGGAATCAAGGATGTAAGAAATAAGTTTGCGGGTGGGGGTGGGGGGTTGTTGAGGGCGGTACCAAAAAGTGAAACATGATTTATGAATTTGAAATGTATCTATTAAAAAACCCCAAGAAACTGAAGGTGCCAGCTGAGGGTGTGGGAAGCTGAAACTTTTAATAGGATTTAAAAATTGGATTTTAGGGTGACTGGGATTTCCTATTCCTATTTCCTATAAAAATAAATAACTGATATAGGGGGGTTCATGGAAAAGCATCAAGATTTGTGGTTCATCATATAGTAAAGGATAGCATAGTTTTAAACAGGGAAGAATATAAACAGTAATTTAGAAGAATTTCCAAACATTAAAGAAATAATTCTGGGTGAAATTAAAGATGGGAAAATTTTCCAGCATGAAAGTACCACAGCATGAATATTACAATAGTCATTTTTGTAATGCTTGTTTTTGCTTGCCTCTGCATTTTCTGGAACATATAGCCAAACCAAGAGACCATAACTGAAGATACCCTTTTTGTAGAAGTCTACTTAACATATGTTGTGTTTGACTATTCTAAAGATGTCATTTGTATATTTGAACTTCCTGCATGAATTTCCTTTTTAGCAGTGTTCTTCCATCTTCCGGCTCTTCTAACAGTTTTAATGTTGTGGTTTCCAGCTGCCTCAGAGTCTGGGTGATATTTGTTCTGCAGACTCAGCACGATGTCTGTTTAAGAAAAAAAAAATCTGCAGTGGTTTTGGCCCAGCCCTTACCTCATCACAACTGTTTGATTCTTATCAGTTCATTTAAACAAGGGGAAAAAAACTTTCTTGGTTTGCATCAGCTGTCTTGGTACTTGAAACAACCTGGCCTGTTTAAACCACCCTCGTTTCACTGTGTCCCATGTCATTTGCATTGACCTTGTGAGATATTGATATTCTTTACAGTCATTTGTAGTGGACGCTGCAGAGGCTCCCTAAAGATTTCAGGGGTATGAGCAGCTTCCTCAGCAGTTTTTTTTTTTTTTTCCTTTTTGCAGTATATGTGCAAGCATCTGTGTCTTTCTCTGGGACTGCCTATGTCAGTCTTCAGGGAAAAGATGAACACTGATGCTTTTTACCATTTTTGTGGGAAGTCCAAAATGTTATGGTAATTGTTGCCTTTTAAAGTGTTAGTTTTCTATTTTTTGACCATTTAGAAGTTTGACATTTTGTATTTAACTTGTTAAATAAACAAACATGTAAAACCTGACAGCCGTCTCACTGTTGTGCCATCTATCATTGTTAAACCACTTTTTTACTCCTTGAAACCATTCCGATGTTTTCAGATGCATGAAGCTGCAGCTTCTGATTTTTCCGAGCACCTTTTATGGTCACTGTCACCCCTGACTGCGACCGCTGGCATCAAACCTACAACCTCAATCTGTCTCCATGACTGCCTGTATCTGTCACTTCACCACTGCAGCGCATCGGGAAACTGCACTGAGCATGCTCGCTGCAGATGCAGCCTGTAGATGGAGCAAAGGGGAGGAGAGAGGAGAGGACGGTTGGGAAGGAGGCACAGAGGAGCTGCACACAGTTGTGAGATGCTGTTGCAGCTCTGAGAACAAGAGCTGCATGGGAAGAGTCATCACTGGGAATACAGATGGAAGCTGAAAGTGGAATAGGAACGATTGGAATGTCGGCGAGTTGACACCAAAGAGGAGAATTCATTTGATAAGGTAAAGAAGTCGAAGCGTTTTATTGTGATGGAACAGAGTGATTGTTACAATAGAAACAATGTTTCACCTCTGTAGAAGTCATTGTGTATTTGCACTAGATTTTGTTATTATGTAACCTTTAACAATCATTGATATTAAATGTTTTGTTAGTATAAGAGTACAAAAATAAAATTCTGCTTTTCTCCACCTTTGCAAAGATGCGTGCTATTAATGAGCTCATTTGTCATCTATAGAGACTCTTGGGCAGCGTGGAGATGTATGCCTTTTACTCCCTTTTGGTCTACATCTTCTACACTGTCTTTAAGAAGGAGGAGGAGGAGGAGGAAGCCTTGGAAGGGGCGTGTGGAGATTCCCCAAATGTACGTCTAGCCATATCATGTCCAGCCTCGGGGGTTCTCTATTGAAATAAATAAATGGGGGGAAAATGCAGGCCATAAGCTCACTAACAAAGGATGTACACAATGCTGCTGTATGCATGTCTATTTTACTGACTCTTATATATGATGCTGTGCTCAGGAGCCAGGACCTGTTTCCATGGAAACAGGGAGCAGGAGGAGAGATGGCCACACCTCCAAAGTGGGAAAAAAAGCTTGTGCTCGCTTTAGTGAATCAAGTGGGTGCTCAAATAGTCTTTCAGGGCATTTTTAACCATAAAATGAAAGTATTTAGGAATAACACTTTTATTTTTGTCTACAAGAGATCAATAAGTACATACATTCCTTGACTCTATTGCTTGTGTGATGCAATGTCATCCAGGCAGCAGCAGTGACACAGATGAAATGAGCAATGAAGATGAGGAAGACGCCCCTGACATCCCAGCTTGCACTCCTCTGGCCGCTTTTCTATCTTTCAAGCAGGATGCTGAGAAGAGAAGAGCTTCCCAGGTTCAGCTCGAAACAACAGGAAAGGTAACAAGTGTCCAACTGATGTAGGACAGAATAACACGAGCTCAATTTCCCCAAACCGGGGCACTCTGCACATTATTAAGCTTTATGTGCATGTGTTTGTGTGTGCTCTTTGCTGCATAGTTGGCAGAGTCTCCCCTGGTGGCAGTGATGTCCCACTTGCTGAGTTTTCTGGAGCAGTACTCCCATTTCCAGCAACTGCAGCAGCAGGCTGACCAGTACCGGGTCCAGCTGAAGAGGCACCGAGTCCAGCACCGCCGCCAGATGAAGGCTCTCCGAGCCTCCTACCGCCAGCGTCTCCGGGACAAGAACAGCATCATCAGCAGTCTGGAAGAGGCCATCAGCCAGCAACAGTGCCCCAGTCCACTGAGCGAGGGTGAGAGAGCTGGGATGAGGTTGGAGAAAAGGAGGAGATGTGATAGAGGGGGGAGGGAAGGAGCGATGGGGGAAGGGAAAATAAGGGGAACGTGAGATTGCGGTGTATTGTCATGGAGTGTGTGAGACAAAAATGAGGAAAAGGTCAAGGGGCTGTTTCAATAAACCCATCCACTCAGCTGGTGGGAAAAGAAGTGGTGAAAATTGCACATGTCTGAAGGTAGATTTATGAGACTCCAGAGTGGGTAGTTGGAGGAAGATGAATTAGCAGGACAATGGATGAAAACGAATGCACTGGGTTCTGTATTTTAAATGAGACAGGGTTCATGTTCTCTCTGTTACAGTGGAGAAAATTCTACAATATTCCATTACTGCTTAAAAAACGTGAAGAGCATTGAGAACGAGAGATTTAAAGCATGATGACTAAGTGTTTTGGTTCATTGTCATGGGGTATTATGTAGTTCAACTACATTTAATGTGGGTGTATGCCTTTTAAGTTGTCCACCTACCCAGCTTTAGAAAAGAGTCTGATTTTATCTAACTGGGAACACAAAGTACATGCGAGGCAGCACTTTTGTAGAAAAACAGGTTAATCAGATTTATTAGGATGCAAGACGTTTGGCAGTAATGATGTCACAGAAGCCAGACAAACACTGTACAGCTGCAACTGACCGCAGAGCTTTAGATCATAGGTGTCAAACTCTGGCCCGCAGCCCAATTACATTTGGCCCGTGAAGCCAATACTAAATTATTATTAGAGCTGGCCTACTGGTATTATACAGCTAATATATATATTGTGTAGTATTAAGCTTTGCTTGTTCCATATTCAGTTTTTCAGCAAAACTTGTTTGAGTCCATAAGAAGAAATTCATTCTTAAATCTGGAGGAAGATTTTTTTTTCAGTAAATATTAATGTTAGCCCGCGACCTTGTTCCAGTTTTGAATTTTGGCCCACTGTGTATTTGAGTTTGACACCCCTGCTTTAGATGTTTGTATCTGATGTGCTTCAGATTTGACCAGATGGCTCTTTGACATCGTAGCAGTGTATTCTCTCCCTTGGTGTTGTGCATATGGTCAGGTTGTTAACAGCTCTGTGAAACTGTAGATCTCAAGCTCACTTATATAGCCTCAGAGGAATACCTCAATATGCATGATAACCCAAACCAGATTATAAGCATCTGTATAAGTAGACGTGTTTAAGGCCTTGAGTGCTGGCTCTGTAGTTTCTGCATAAAGATACGTGAGTATGCGGTGAGACTTTGTGGTACTTGTGTAGCGACTTAGTGACTCTTTGTCATGAATAAAACAGGGCTGTTAGTGCTGTTTTATTTCCTGCAAATGCACTTACAAGGTCGGGCACATGCTAGGCAGCACGTGTAAACGTGTTGGACTAAAAATAGCCCAAGGCTTACGTCCCAGGGTTACAAGTCTGTCTGGTTTGTTTGTTTAGTGTCATGCAGGAGTGGTTCTGTGCCTCTTGGGTGTGCAGCAGGTAAACCAGTTTGTATCTTTGTCTGTGATCTTTCATTCAGTATTTAAACCGAATGGTTTGCCCTGCATGCAGATGACATTTATCAGAGTTTAACATACATTTTCATGCACCATTTCAAGCTGCCGTCTTAAAATTGACATCGTTACATTAGTACCTCTGCAGACTCAAGTGCTTGCCAACACATTTACGCCTGCACCACTAATTCACAGCTGTGGCCTCGTCTCCTTTTTGTTTTTCAATATCTTGCACCACCACCTCTTTTTGATACAGCAATGAAATCTGACATAACGCGTTGATAAAATTAGCAAAGAGCCCAGCAGTGAAAATTAGACGCGACAGAACCCGATGAATCATTGAGGAGGAGGAAAGCGATTAAAAGCTGTCGGGCATGCAGCTCAGGTTCTTGTTGGACAATAGGCTCCTTTTTTATAGGTTGTTGCATTTTTCACATGGTGGGTGAGGGAGCTTTCAGCACACTTTTCATTTTCATTAATATTACAGTCACTTGGAAGCTTTTAGGTGCACTGTAGAAGTGGTATTAAATTAAAATTACTGCATTTAAAAAAGAAAACGAGTGAGTGGAAGTTCAGATGTTATTGATTCTGACTATTTGTGACTGGCATAACATTAATATTTTTACAAAGACCTAGTTTGCACTCAGGCTGATGATTATAATGGATGTTATTTGTGTCCACCAGGTGAGTCTAGTAGTGATGAAGGGGCACAAGCTGGGGTTCACAGGCTGGTGCAGTCCCTGCACGGCCTGCAGGGTGAGAGGAGTAGGCTGAGAGGAGAACTCCGTCTGCTGCACTCCCAGCTGGAGCAGAAGGAAAGGGACAGACACTCTCGAATACAAACCTTTCAACAGCAGGTAGACCACTCCTTACTAGTTAGCTCCTAGGCTAGACCAACTTAAGCAAGAAAAAATGCCACCTGAAATCCAAAGTTGCTCTTTAAGTTTCAGTGAGTTTTTAGATTTTGTTTTATTATGAATGCATGCATATAGTGAAAAAGGCTAATCCAGTTAAAGCACAAACATATCCTCTTGGGTGTTACGCTGTCATTCTGTTATCTATTATATGCTGCCTTTCTGGAAGGGTCTCTCAAAATATATCACAAAATATAAAAAGTAAAAAATATGTGCACATAAATCATCAACTTCACATTATGTCACATGCAATAAAAATACATTTTAGTTTTAAATGTCTGTAAAAAACACGGTTTTGTAATTTTGCACAGATTGATGAGCTGAAGAGCTGCATCGAGGAGCGTGAGGAGGAGCTGTCAAGACTGAGAACAGCCACTGTAAGAGCTGCACGGTCAAACTATTGATTTAATCATTTCTCAAGTCTGTGAGTGTCCACTTCATCAGCTGAGCTGCCACACGACCAAGTTAAAAATAGCCAAGCAGTGGTCTGCTTGCCTTGTACAAAACCTTAACTAGAATTTACTTAAAAAAAAAAAAAAATTGACCTAAATGTATACATATACTAAATAGACATTTATCAGAAAAAGATCATTTTTTCTGATAAATCATGGGATTCTTTCTGTTAATATGTTGGTCCTCAGCCTTATGTTTCATGTCCTCAGGGGGCCACAGACTCGGAGAAGCGGGTCCTGTGTCTGTCAGCAGAGAATGAGAGTCTGAAACAGAGCCTGAGCGTAACTCAAGGCCTCCTGCAGCAGCTCTCAACCATCCCTTCCCAGTCGAGCACCATGCTCATCAAGGTGAGAGGGACC